GGTCCTTATCTTATCAAAATAAAACTTAACCATTATAATATCAAAATATTTTTTTTTGGTTTTTGTATTTTTCTTTTAATGTCAGAAACTCGTCTTATGTATAAGTTTGTAATCCTTGATATAAGAACAAATAAAATAATTTTTTATTTTTAAAATGTAAGCCAAGTTCTCATGGATTTTATAAATTAGTTATTAAATTCAAAAATACATGCAAATATATTAACAACACTAGTTTCTTGACTTTTTTATTTAAAGAATCAAAATCATGTCATCTATTTTTATTTTATGAAATATGATTTTTTTGTTCTCATAGATTTCATAAATTATTTATTAAATCCAAAAATACATGTAAATATATTAACAAAACTATTTTCTTGATTTTTTTATTTAAAGATGCTAAATCATGTCATCTATTTTTATTTTATGAAATATGATTTTTTTGTTCTCATAGATTTCATAAATTATTTATTAAATCCAAAAATACATGTAAATATATTAACAAAACTATTTTCTTGATTTTTTTATTTAAAGATGCTAAATCATGTCATCTATTTTAATTTTATGAAATATGATTTTTTTTTATTTTGAAAAACTTAGTCATATAAAAATTAAAATAAAATTGTATTTTTGAAATAAAGATTTTTTGTTGTTGTTTTTGTGGAAGGAAACCGATTCATTTAATACCAAAAAAATATCTTGCATATAGGTCACAAATCCAAATATTAATATGTCAGGGTAGAAAAAAGTGGAGAATTCATAATTAATTACAAAAGGATTTTTCAAAAATTAAAAATTTATTAAAAAAAAAACTAGACAGATACCGTGTTTGGCAATATGCAAATAAAATGTTTTTATCAATGCTATTTTAACTATGATATCAATTTAAGGCAAATTATCATTCATCAACTCAAAACCAAACAACAAAAAACATTCACACAAATCTTATTAATTTCACAATATTTATTCAATTTTCATGTTAATTCAAATAAATCAACACACACCTAAACATAAATCATGAACCAACATTTAGCGTCTAAAAAGCAATTATAACCTAAAAAATAAATTTTCAATTTAACACAAATTATCAAACCTAAAATGCATATAAATTTAAATCAAATAATGTCCAAACAGTCCAAAAATATACAAAACAATAAACAATTTGTCCTAAATTTCTCAATGTTATAGCAATTTATCCAAAAATGATTTGAGTTTGTATATTGACCTTTCTAGGCGTTTGAAATGTACAAGATATACTAAAATAGACACTGGAAGACCACTGGAACAATGACAGCGTGTGTACCATGTGCCTCCACCACTACTAACATATGGATTCACGCGTTGCTACTGTTGAAGGAGCATAAGTTGTTGTATCTAAAAATCATCTGCTCCCTTTTCACTTCCTAGCTAGTAAAGTCATACAATGTCAATCCTAGAGAGAGATCTGGTGACTTGAAGGTTAGGTTATTTTCTTTTTTTTTATTTTTTAAATCTGTTTATCTCTCTTTTCTTTCTTTTAATTTCCTCTTTTTTTCTTTTTTGTTTCAGGCAAACCAAGGGTTTGTTATAGGTAAGTGATAGATCTATGGTAAAGTGTGTGATTGTGGTTTATGTTCTAAGAGAAAGGTTGTTGGTCGTCATAGGAGAGTTAGTTATTTTGGATCTATTGGTGAAACGTCTGTTAGGGAAAGCTAGGTTGATAGAACTTTTCTAGTGGTGGAAGATGTTACCATTTGAGAAGATGAGGGATTCGACCACAGTTAGACTTTAAGAAGATTGTTGACAACACTACTATGTTGGATGGCTAGACTCAAAGAAAATTATTGACAACATTGTTGTGGTAGACGGCTAGAAGGTGCATAGTTATTATTGGCTGCTTCTAGCTAGTTCTAATTGGTAGTTACTATGGCGTAAGGTTTGTTAGTTATAAGGATGATCACGAATATGATAGGTTAAACAATGGTTGTTGATGGGAAAGATGTCGTTATTGGTGTGGTATTGGTTGGTTGACAATGGAGGAGCCGACAAAAGGAGGATGGATGGTCAGTTGTGGAGGAAAGAGCAAGATGGTTGACACGATTGAAAGATTGATGTCTTCTCCCAAGTGTAAAAGTGTCGAAGTAATAAATAACCCAGCAAGACCGGGGTCGAACCACAGAGAGGTTAATTATACAAATTATAAACGACAATAGTAACAACAACAACAACAATAAT